AACCAACAGATCTCCCTGTTTCTGTCCTTTTTATATAGAAAATTATGGAGTGATTTTTTTTTTTTAATATTTTTATTTATTTCTAGGAGAGAGAGAGACAGACAGCACGAGCAGGGGAAGGTCAGAGAGAGAGGGAGATACAGACTCTGAAATAGGCCCCAGGCTCTGAGCTGGCAGTCAGCACAGAGCCCGACGCGGGGCTCGAACCCACGAACCGCGAGATCATGACCTAAGCGAAAGTCGGACACATAACCGACTAAGCCACCCAGGCGCCCCTGGAGTGATCTTTTTAACATGTAAGTCACATTGCGTCTATCCTCTGCTCAAAACCTTCTGCAGTCTCCCCATCTCACTCAGAATAAAAGTCAGAGTCCTTATAGTAACCCAAGAGGTACTGCATGATCTGACCCCATATCACTTCTCTGATCTCCCTATCTACCAGCTAACCAACTACCTGCTCCACTCCCAGCTTCTTGAGGGCCTTTGAACTTACTGTTTTCTCTGCCTGGGATGCTATTCTCCCAATGTCTGCATGACTAAGTCTCTCCCTTCCTGCAGAACTCTGCTGAAACATCACCTTCTCAGAAAAGGCTTCCCTGAGCCCACTGTATATAAAATGGCATCCCTTCCTGAACACTCTCCGTCTACATTATTCAGCCTTATTTTACCCAAAGAACTTATCACTGTATGAGATATTATATATATATGGGGGGGAGGCTAGGTGACCAATTTACTTCCACTAGCAAGTAACTCTATGAAGGAAGTTAGATTTTTTAAAAATCTATACCCCTGGAACATAAAAAAAAAATTCTAGAACAGTACAGCCCTTCAAAAATATTATCTAGTGAGGAAATAAATAAAGAAACTCGGGGTGGGGGGGGAGCGCCTAGGTGGCTAAGTCGGTTAAGCATCTGACTTTTTTTTTAATTTACATTCAAGTTAGTTAGTGTATAGTGCAATGATTTCAGGAGTAGATTCCTTTTTTAATTTTTTTTACATATAGTTTATTGTCAAGTTGGTTTCCGTATAACACCCAGTGCTCATCCCCACAAGTGCCCTCCTCCATGCCCATCTCCCCCCTCTCCCCCACACCCATCAGTACTCAGTTTGTTCTCAGCATTCAAGAATCTCTCATGGTTTGCCTCTCTCCCTCTCCCCCACTATTTCCCCCTTCTTCTCCCCCATGGTCCTCCGTTAAGTTCCTCCTAATCCTCCTATACGTGCAAATATATATTTGTCCTTCTCTGTCTGACTTATTTCACTCAGCATAACACCCTCAAGGTCCATCCATGTTGCTACACATGCCAGATTTCCTTCTTTCTCATTGCCATGTAGTATTCCATCTTATAGATAAACCTCATCTTCTTGATCCATTCGTCCATTGATGGACACTTAGGCTCTTTCCATGTTTTGGCTATTGTTGAGAGTGCTGCTATGAACATTGGGGTACATGTGCTCCTGTGCATCAGCACTCAGGAGTAGATTCCTTAATGCTTCTTACCCATTTAGCCCATCCTCCCTCCCACAACCCCTCCAGCAACCTTCAGTTCTCCATATTTAAGAGCCTTTTATGTTCTGTCCCCCTCCCTGTTTTTATATTATTTTTGCTTTTCTTCCATCTGTTTTATATCTTAAAGTCCTCATATGAGTGAAGTCATATGATATTTGTCTTTCTCTGACTAATTTTTCTTAGCATAATACCCTCTAGCTCCATCCATGTAGTTGCAAATGACAAGATTTCATTCTTTTTGATTGACGAGTAATACTCCATTGTATATACATATTTATCATATCTTCTTTATCCATTCATCCATCAAAGGACATTTGGGCTCTTTCCATACTTTGGCTATTGTTAATAGTGCTGTTATAAACATTGAGGTGCATGTGTCCCTTTGAAACAGCATACCTGTGTCCCTTGGATAAATACCTAATAGTGCAATTGCTGAGTTGTAGGGTAGTTCAATTGTTAATATTTTGAGGAACCTCCATTACTGTTTTCCAGACTGGCTGCACCAGTTTGCATTCTCACCAACAGTGGAAAAGGGTTCTTCTTTCTCCACATCCTCACCAGCATCTGTTGCCTGAGTTGTTAATGTTAGCCATTCTGACAGGTGTGAGGTGGTATCTCATTGTGGTTTTGATTTGTATTTCCCTGATGATGAGTGATGTTGAACATTTTTTTCAGGTGTCAGATGGCCATCAGGATGTCTCCTTTGGAGAAGTGTCTATTCATGTCTTTTGCTCATTTCTTCACTGGATTATTTGTATGTTGGGTGTTGAGTTTGATAAGTTCTTTATAGATTTTGGATATTAACCCTTTATTTGATATGTCATTTGCAAATATCTTCTTCCATTCCATAGGTTGTCTTTTAGTTTTGCTGATTGTTTTCTTTGCTGTGAAGAGCTTTTTATCTTGATGAGACCCCAATAGTTCATTTTTGCTTTGGTTTCCCTTGCTTCCACAGGCGTGTTAAGTAAGAAGTTGCTGTGCCCAAGGTCAAAGAGGTTGTTACCTGCTTTCTCCTCAAGGATTTTGGTGGCTTCCTGTCTTACGTTTAGGTCTTTCATCCATTCTGACTTTATTTTTGTGTATGTTGTAAGAAAGTGATCCAGGTTCATTTTTCTGCATGTTGTTGTCCAGTTTTCCCAGCACCACTTGCTGCAGAGACTGTCTTGATTCTATTGGATATTCTTTCCTGCTTTGTCAAAGATTAATTGGCCATATGTTTGTGGGTCCATTTCTGGGTACTCTATTCCATTCCATTTAGCTGGTGTCTGTTTTTGTGCCAGTACCATACTGTCTTGATGATTACAGCTTTGTAATACGGCTTGAAGTCTGGGATTGTGATGTCTCCAGCTTTGGTTTTCTTTTTCAAGATTGCTTTGGCTATTTGGGGTCTTTTCTGGTTCCCAAATTTTAGGATTACTTGTTCTAGCTCTGTGAAGAATGCTAGTGTTATTTTGATAGGTATTGCATTGAATATGTAGATTGCTTTGGGTAGTATTGACATTTTAACAATATTTGTTCTTCATATCCAGGAGAATGGAAAATTTTTCCATTTTTTGTGTCTTCTTCAGTTTCTTTCATAAGCTTTCTATAATTTTCAGCATATAGATTTTTCATCTTTTTGGTAAGATTTATTCCTAGGTATTTTATGGGTTTTGGTGCAATTGTAAATGGGATCAATTCCTTGATTTCTCTTTTTGCTCCTTCATTATTGTTGTACAGAAATGCAACCAATTTCTGTGAATTGTTTTATATACTGCAGTGTTGCTGAATTCATGGATCAGTTCTAGAAGTTTTTTGATGGAATCTTTTGGGTTTTCCATATAGAGTAGCATGCCATCTGTGAAGAGTAAAAGTTTGACCTCTTGGCCTATTTGGATGCCAAGCATCTGACTCCTGATTTCAGCTCAGGCCATGATATCACAGACCCTGCTTGGGATTCTTTCTCTCTCTTTCCCTTCCCTGCTCTCTCACTTTCTTTCTCAAAATAAATAAACATTAAAAATTTTAAAAAGAAATAATGAAACTCTGTAAGGTTTTTCTATGACTTCATCTTTAATCACTTATCATGTTCTTAGATGTGAGGTTGCCATTTTTAAAATTATCCTTAATTTTTCTTTTGATATCTACTTTAACTCAAAAGTAATTTAGTAGAGAAATTTCAAATTTAAAAAAGCTCTTAAAATTATCCTTCACGTATGTAGTTCCAGGGTTTTTACACTGAGGTTTGATACAGAGTGATCTTTATAATTTTTTTGCCTAGGAAATTTTAAGATTTTCTATCAGGTTTAGTATGTGATTCTTTATCACAAATGTTTTAAATAACAGAAAATACAGTACATTCCTTGAGGTAACAACTTTTGTATCAATATTTAGTTAGCTAATTATGGATATGTAATTAAAGCAAATAATTATAATAGTATTATATATTTTTTTGCCTGAGTAGTTGATCTTACAAAGACAAAGAGAGGGCAATAAAGTTTCCAAGTATTATCTAATTTCTGTTAATCATCACTTGTATTCCTAGAAATATTTAGTTTGTGTATAATAATTTTTTTCTTACTTTTAAAATCCACTTTCATAAGGTGAAAACTATATAATATAAAGTTATATACATGAATTATATTTCCATAAGTTTTATCTAAAGTATTCTATAAAACCTATGTAATTATTACCACAACAAAAGGTATATTTCCATCATCCCAGAATGTTTCTCATGCCACTTTGCAGTCAATATTCCCCAAGTCCCTATGCTTAACACAGTCACTGATGTGATTTCTATCTCTCTGGATTCATTTCTCTACAGATAGAGGTGTATATACTCTCTTATACCTAGGTTCTTTTACTCAGCATAATATTTGGGAGATTTATTTACATTGCTGCATATATCAGATATAACTATTTGAAAAAAATAATTATTTGCGGGCATTAATTGTTTATTAATTGGCTCAAGGATTGGAGGGGGAGAGAGTTAAGTAGTATTCCATTATATACCAGAATTTGTTGGGTGGACACATGTATTATTTCCAGTGTCAGCTGTTGTGTATGACATCCTGATGAATATTCAAGTACAAGAATTTCTGTGAACTGTTGAAGTCATTTCTCTTGGACAAATAGCTAGAAATTATTTGGTAAATCCCTGTTGTAACAAATGGACAAATGGCTATGCCATTTTACTCTCCCAGCAGAAACTTATGAACATTTTCCTTGCTCCCCACATCCTTGACAAGTCTTGATGTTTTCAGCCTTTTCAATTTTAACCATTCTCATTATAGCAGTACCGCATTATAGATTTTAATTCCTCCCCCCAATGACTGGTGATAATTGAGGAGCTTCTTATGTATGTATTAGCCAGTTCCACTGGCTTTTGTGAAGTTCCAGTTCCACTATTTTGCCCATTTTTAATTGAGTACATTATCTTATAGAGTTATAAGAGATCTTAATGTGTTCTAGATAGAAGTCCTGCTTCCTTTCAGAGCACCATTTCACTCACCTGCTCACACTTCTCTCCCTCTTGAATCTTTCCTTCTGCAGGAAGCCAGATGCCATGAAATGAGGCCACTCAAGCAGGCTGTGGAGAGGTCCATGCGTCAAGAAATGGAGGCCTGTCAGTAACCAAGTGAGAGAGCTTAGACATGGTTTCTTCAGCCCCATGGGAGCCTAGAGATGACTCTAGATCCAGAGTCATCTGAGGACAGAGGGCTGGACTGCAACCTCAAGAGAGACCCTGAACCCGAACTACCCAGCTGGGCCTCTCCCAGATAGCATACCCTCAGAATCTGTGTGAGATAATACATATTTGTTCTTCTGAGCTGCTAAGTTCTTAGGTAATTTGCTACACAGCTGTGGATTAACTAATATCCATTCAAACCCCAATAACGATACATCAATCCCCAAATCTGGATGTCATATTCAGTGCATGCAGCTAGATGTACAAGTTGGAAGCCACAGTTCCCAGAAAGGATGCAATGCCAGAATTCTTTCCCCTGGTTCCCAAGTCCAGGTAAGAATAGGTGTAATGTCATAAGCTACTTCTACTCCAAACAAACCTAAGTCCTTCTGTTCTTTCTCATGATTGAATGATTTTTACCAACATCTCTTATCTCTCCCTGAGTTCTCAATGCTCTCCATCCTATAGCTACTTGTTCACATTATTTTTTCTGTCTCTAAGATTCTCATGGTGGGAAGAAGTCCATGTAAACCAACCCACATGTGTGAATCTCCTCTATAACACTCCAAATGGTCTTCTAGCTTATTTTTGAAATTTAGATATCACTATCTTCTGAGGTAGCTCATTCTATCTTTGGATCACTCTAACTCTTAGAAAATTCCTCCAGAGAATTCACTTGCTTGGCTCTCCTGCTTCTCTTATTTGTCAAGAAATTCATCCTTGGGCCAACTCTCCAGGAAGAATTTTCTGTGACTGAGAACACCTCTGAAGGAAGGACTGGTTAGTAATTGTTGGGATGTAAAGCAAATCACATTTTCTTTACTCTGAAGTTTCTAGACTGACTTGACTTTCTAAGAGCCATCTCTTTACCTGGATCCATCCTAGGTGATTAACTTTAATTCTCAAGAATGTCTCGGGGGTCGGGGGTAATAAGCCTCTTCAATTATTTGGCTCCTCAGAGATTTTATTTTAAGTTTATTTATTTATCTTGAGGGAGATGAGACGGAAGGGCAGAGAAAGACAGAGAGATGTAGAGAGAGGGAGAATCACAAGCCAGGCTCTATACCACCAGCTCAGAGCCCCACACAGGGCTTAAACTCATGAACCATGGGATCATGACCCGGGCTGGTCAAGTGTCAGATGCTTAACCAGCTGAGCCACCCAGGCACCCCAGATCCTCAGATAATTGTTCTTGGTGAAACTTTTCTGGATATTCCTGTAGCAGCTGCTATATGTAAGTGATGGGTAGAGCTAACAAAGGTCCTGTGCTTGACTTTGGCAGGGCCTGGAGCCAAGCACTATAAATCTGGGCTTCCTCTCTCCTACTCAGGCTTGCCAGGATGATAAGATTAATTGTTTCCATAAAGAGGTACTTTTAGACTTCCTGGAGAGCTTGACTGATCTGTAGATCTAGGAAGATTACAGGTGTAGTTTTTTGCCTTCGTAAAGATAGTCAACAAAACCCTTAATATAGTCTACACAGTTACTATTGTTCTAGCCTCATTTCTCACTACGCTCTCCTTTTCACTCTAAGTTCTAGTTACATTGGCATTCTTCTAATTTGTTAGAATGTGCACCTTCTTCATACCATGGAACTTTTCCACCTACTGTTTCCATGTTCCAGAGTCCCTATGTTTCCCTTCTTTTCAATTACTCTAACTCTTCTCTCAGTTTAGCTAAGCATTGCTTCCTCAAGGAAGCATTTCCAGATGACCACCTTTTGAGTCTAGGTTATATTTATTTTATTTCAAAGAGTAAATACACCTTTCTCTTAGATAACCCTTTCAGTTGTAGTTTACACATTTATTTATATGATTATTTGATTAATGTCTATACCCCCTTAGACTAAAAGTTTCATTCACACAGTCACTGCATCCATTTTGCTCTCTATTGTAACACTTAACATAGAGTCGGGTACATTAAGTGTTTGTGGAATGTAGGAAAAAAGCAATTATAACCTGTTGTGATAAGTGCTATCCTTAGAGTAGGCACAGGAGGGCTATGGTCTAACATTATCCAGATTAAAAAATTTTTTTCCTTGTAATATAATATCACATCTCTAAAAATAAACAAGACTCTGTGAGATTAACAAAGGAACCGGGGAAGTAAGAGGTAACATAAACCTGAATGAGCTGATTACATTGGATCCAGGTCAAGTCAACTATTTCCATTTTGCAAATGAGAATTATTGGTCTTTTATCCAGATACAGAAAGTTATTGAAAGTCTCATTAGTGATGTCAGGAGATTTAAAACTGGAAGAAAAATGAGCTTATAAGGTGGCAGTTGGATGCCAAACAGATCCTGTTGGATAGCCAGATGCCATCTCAGAGACTCACAAGTAAAACCAGCTCTACTAGAGAGTTATGTCCCTGACCATTGATGACTGGATTTCTAGAGATGGTAGAATATTTGGGACCAGAACTAGGGACTCAAAAAGAATAGCTGATGCCAGGTCAAGCAGCATTACTAAGACTATTCATCTTTTAGTTTACTGAAGGTTGGGCTCAGGACATGACTCAGGAATGCAAAGGAAAACCCACACAACCCTAGGGAAACCAGAAATAGTGTCACATACACCAGACCTGGGGAGCTGCCAAAGAATACCAGGTCTGTCTACAGGGCATATGGAATCTAGGAGGTGGTGCTGAGCTCCCAAGAGTAATAAATAATTCAGCCTTCTGCAAATTCATATGTTAAAACCCTAATCCCAAGGTGATGGTATTTATGGATAAGGCCTTTGAGCAGTAATTAGATTTAGATGAGATCATGAGAGTAGGACCATCCTAGTGCCATAGAGTCTCTACAGAGTTTGCTCCTTCTCTTTCTTTCTCTACCATGGGAACACACAGGAGAAGGGATGGCCATCTGCAAGCCAGCATGAGAGACCTCAAAAACCTGGCCATGCTAGCAACTTGAGCTCAGATTTCCAGCCTACAGACTATAAGAAAATAAACATCTATTATTTAAGGAACCCAGTCCATGTGTTATGCTATGGCAGGGTGTAACTAATAAAGTGATGATACAGAGATAAACAGGAAAGACATGGCCTCTACACTCACTGATGGATGAATAGGGAAGATTGATATCAAACCTCAACATAAAATATGATTATTAACAGTAAAGTACAGTACAGCATAGATATACAGAAAGAAGATAAAGCCTAGCCAAGAACTAGAGAAAGAACCTCTTAAGAGAGAAACTTTAATTAGAGATCTTAAGATTTAAGGGTTGTGGTGGGAGGTAGGGGAATTAAGGGATATTTAGACGTAGAGACCAGGAGCACAAGCACACTATCAGTGACATGATGGAGCCTACTCATATCAGCTCATGCAAGCCATTGTTAGCATCTCTTCCCAACTCTGTGTTCAGGGATAGCTCATTGGTAGCTGGAAACCAGACATATTGGGAGTATTCACACAGTGGAAATTTTGCAAATTTTGGGATTATTCTTCCTAGAGAGCCACCATTTGCAAAATATTTACCATACCCAGCACAAAACATGTTCAAGAAATAGGGAGAATATTAACGTTGGAGCACAGAGAGTAAAAGATAAAATGGGAAGATATGAGGCTGGAATTCAACTCTTGGGGATGGCGTCTGATCATCAGTATTTTAAGATATATTCAGTTCTTGCAACCAATAGTGAAAATTACTGGATTAGGTTTAGAGGGCTTTGTAACCTGTGGTAAGAGGTTGGTATTTATATTAAGTCAAAGAGGAAGAGAGGTTTCTGGAAAGATGGCAGAATAGAAAGCATTGTCCATTACTAGGGAACCGGCTAAATAATTTATAATACATAAATATAACTGAATATAATAATGAAAATAATAAGGAAGATTTATACAGAAAATGACATGGAGAATATGCCAAAAGAATGTATGAGAATTAAATACATTCTTACAAAAGAATGTAAGGAATTAGAAAAGATAAAAAGGTAATGATCCAATAAATTGATTCGATTTACAATCTCATACAAAAGAATGTATGAGAATTAAATACATTCTTACAAAAGAATGTAAGGAATTAAAAAAGATAAAAAGGCAATGATCCAATAAATTGATTCGATTGCTCCTTAATATGTCATACTGTGTAATTCAAAGAAAAACCCTTGGATTTAGGATATTCTTTACAGAGGTTCTATCTTTGATAAATGTTCTGTTTTCTTTATATTTTGAAATATTTTTACTTTGTCCTCTTTGAACACCCGTGCATGCACATGTGCACAGGTTGATATTTTATTTTCCTCTTAACACTTTAAAGGTACTATTCTACCATCTGTCTAATTGGTGTTTCCAAGTAATCCATCTTTTCTCTCTGGTTACTTTTAAGATACCTTTTCTTTGTCTTTGGTCTTAACAATTTTGTTACAGTGTGTCTAGGTTAATTTCTTTTTTACTGATTCTCTTTGGGATTCCTAGGACTTCTTGAATTTAAAGTTTCAAGAACTTTTATGAGTTCTGGAAAATTTACATCTGTTAGCATCCTAATATTTCTCCTCATCCATTCTCTCTATTCTCCCCTTCTGGTACTTGATTAGTTACCTATTAAACTTCACTCCATCTCCCAAGCTTCTTAACCTTTATAGTATTTTCTATTTCTTTCTTATCCTACCGAGTCTAGGGAATTTCTTTAAATCTGTCTTTCAGATAACTAATTCTGTCCTCATCTTTAGTACTCTATTTTACCCATCTATTGATTTTTTTCTTTTTAGTTTTAATTATTGTGGTTTTTTGCTGCTGGAAATTCACATGCTGAACCTAGAACCTCCAATAGCATTCTATATGGAGAGAGAGCCTATGAAGAGGTGATAAAGGTTAAACTGAGGTCATGAGGTGGAGGTCCTAATCTTGATAGGTCTTCTGCCCTTAAAGAGAAAGAAATACCAGAGTTCACTCACCCTCTTTGCCACATGAAGACACAGCAAGAAGGTGACT